AATAATTTTTTAAATTTCCTTTGTTTTAGACTATATATAGTCTCTTTGTATCTAGGTTTTCATTATTCAATTGCATTACGTAGAATCAAAAAAACTCTAGCCTCCTTTTCTTTTTCTCTTTGGATTGTTTAACAATTGCAGGAGAGCCCTTTGGAAGATTTCAATTCGAAGAACTTAAATCTTCAGCCCACCCATCAACGAGGGGCTTTGCACTGGGAGCAATTGACAAAATTAAATCATTTATGCCCGCTCCTCCCTCCTCGATGTGCAAAATTCGCAATCTTTACAGACAAAAAATGCTATTGTGTCTATGCACCGGCTTACCAATTTCACTTCTTCAGCTATAGGAAGAAGGTTTTCAGAAGAATGCAAAATGGACACTGTCCGTGGAAGACTTTTTAATTTAAATTCGTTCACATGTGCCTCCGTTCTACCAACTAAATTTCCAACTGCAAGATCCTCCATCATCTCAAGATACTCTGCAATACATCTAAGCATGGTAATGTTTTCTGAATTTATTTCGAAGTTTATTCCATAAAAATTTTGCTGTAAATTCAAATGCCTCAGCTCCTCCAGAAATATCAAGGATTTCAATGACACAAAGATTAGAATCATCGGATTCCAACACCAACTTCCTTAAGTATCCACCTTTTGAGATCGATGGAACTCTATGGGATTTCAAAAATACTTTTTTTTGATGAGGAAACCATGTTGATTACGGATAAGGAATAAAACAAAAACTCTTCAACAGAAGTATTAATTCAAATTGTCCAAATTAATAGAATATATAGATAAGCAGATTTCACTTTCGATATATTCTACCTTGTGCAAAGAAAAGGAAGTTCCTCCAGCATTAACAGTTACATCACTTGGGATTTCGTTGGAAAAGATCCAGTTAAATATTGAAAGTAAAATCTCAAATTCTTCCTAAAGTATTGAATTATTTTCACTAAAAAAAGAATTTAGGACAAGTATCGAAACTGAAACAATGCTTTCAGAACTTCTTACAAACACCTGGGAAGATAATAAATAAGAGAGAAAGTCATGGCAATGGAAAGAAGCTCATCTTTGTACCCCTTCGAGGGTGGCCAAGTTGGTGGAGCAGGTGAATGCGGAGACCAAAGGTCACGAGTTCAAATCCCCTGCCAACACTTCCTCGGTCGAGCCCTTTGCACCGGACTTGCCTAGTGCGATTTACCTATCATGTGTGGTTTGTGGGCTACTGTATATGGAGCGGGGTTTACCTAGTGCGCACTCGCAATGGTCGGGCCTCCGTCCCTTCGAGGTGGTCGGAGCTCTTCTGGCGGGTAGCGGCTGTGGGTTCCTACGCCAACAAAAAAAGAAGCTCCTCTTTGTTAGTAGCATTGGATGTTGTAGTTTGCTCCTGGTTGAGATCCATGATGCCAATTATTCAAAGGGTCGTTATCAAATTCGTGTGTTCATCAAATTAAGTCTTGTTCTTGACATATTTGGAGTCCACTTCATGAATCTTTTCACTCCACTCTGTTTAGTGCAATTGTAAGTGTGATTAAGTACTAAATAATTTCCATGCCCCCCTTGGATTCTGAAACAACAGTTTTGAGAGTACAATCTTAGTCTTAGTTTATGTAATGATAAGATAATGATAATTGGCCTTCAATTACAAGCCATGATCTCAAAAGCAAAGTTCCTATAATAGGCATCACTTTCAGTGAAGTGGTTAAAATAAGTACTAAACGATATCTGAAAGTGGGAAACATGTTTGGTTGTTGGAACAAACAACATCCCACTTTTGCCCTTCGTCCACTAACTTTATGTCTAGTACGTTGAATTGAATCGTGTTCCATTCACTTTTGGCTTTCTTTGTCTACATTACTACATATGATCTTTCCAAATACTAACTTTCACCAAAGTTAAAACTAATAAATTTGGATAGTTCAGTGCCTGGAGAATCTGTCTCACCAGCAGTCCTTGGTTCCCCTGTGGATTAGACTATAGTGAAAGAGATTGGACTATCCCTGCCATGTTCTACTAGTTTGAGGCAACAGAAGCGGTTGAGTGGTCTTATGTCTTCTCAACTTGAAAAGCTAGTTCAAGAGGTGAGGCTTTCCCTCACACTTATAAACTGACCACCACCCTTTCCACAATAGATGTGGGATAATCTCAACAATCTCCACCTCACACATTGGTTCCTGGGTGGGAGCAAACTCGTATCTCCAGTGGACTGTTGGGCTGAGACTTGTTGATAACCCAGGGTCTGATACCACTTGTTAAGAAATAAAACGTATCTGTGAAAATGTCTTCCGATCTTTCCGTTGTTTCTCCTCCTTTTTTCAAGTTGTGGACATTTTGTCAAATTTCAACAACGCATCATCTAAATCCATATTCAAAATTCTCATTGTGGCAAGTGAAGATACGAGCTATACTCAAGCAAATGGACTTGGATAATACGTTGTTGGGAACTGACAAAACGTCCATAACTTGGACAAGGAGGAGAAACAACAGAAGAATCGGAAGGCATTTTCATAGATCCGTTTTATTTCCCAACAAAAGCTAGAAAAATTAATTGCATGGACGTGCATTTGTTAACAAGTATTTGTAAATTTTATATTCTTCATATAAGCTTCTCCGTGGTGAATTTCTAAGTGCATGTTTGGTGAAGCTTAAATTATAATTTAAATTAGTCAAATATATTTTTTATTCATACATTTCGTAAAACTCACAAATATTGTTCACTATATTCACATATTTTGTAAGAATCGTAATATATAAGCACTTAAAGCATTACCAAACTTAAATTTGTTGGTGTGGCATTAAAGCAAGCACTCTTTCTTCGGAGTCTTAAGTGTAGATGAGACAATCTGAAGAGGGTCACTTCAAGTAAAAGATTAATTTCGTAAAGTTAGACGATAAAGAATATTGATTTTGAAGAGAATTGGATCGCAGCAGCTCCTGATGAACTCACATTGCTTGTGAAAGGTCTTCGTAAATTTATAAGCACACTGCACGTACTCTTCTAGAAACTGATATTTATATTCCCCAACTAATGGCCAATGTGAATGGAGAAGCTTGCATACTTGGACTTAAAATACTTGGCCCATATTTAAAGTCCACGATCGCTTGTAGGGTGGGCCGATCCATCCTACAAAATGATTTAGAGTTTATAATTTAATACGACTTTAAACAACATGTTTAACAACTTAATTGCACACACAACAACACAAACAAGTTAAGATAGACCAAAAGAGGGAATGAAAGGATATATCACGATCCGGATGTCACGAGAATTAAGGGAGTGTTGTTCCATGTCCTAGAGGTCTTAGAGCCTTGACATTTTGAATCCCATCGTCAGTGAAACATTCAGTTCACGAATCGAAAACTTATCTCCACAGCAAGCTCCAGGTTGAAGTTATGGTAAATAATCTTACACGACGATGCCCATTACATATTTTTTTTAATTCAATTTAAATCACATTCTTTCAATAAAATAATTTTGTACGTAAATTCAGAATTTTTCTTTACTTTAATCAAACATTCCCCAAAATAATTATTTTTCACAAAATGTTTTACTAAAAATTTACATCAAATTTGACACTGAAAAAAAAATGTTGTTCGACATTGACTCTTTAAGAGTCAGATTTAAATATTAATAATTCCAAGTAAGAAAAATACGTTACGTATAGGACCTGGACTGTGACGTGGCCTGCATAGTATTCTGTTTAACTGCCACATAGGGTGGCATTTTTTGTTTGGTATTGCATGGACCCAACCAAATGTCGACCTTTCTTTAATATTTTAATTCTGCACCTAATTTTTCAGGCTTTTAAATCCCTTTAAATATATTTCTTTCTGCTTAGATTTCCACCATTTTTATTCTATTCGCTCTTCACGAACTCAAAATGGGATTTTTAAATGCATTTATTTGCATTGCAGTACTAGTTACTGGTGTTGGAGGGGGCCAGTCTTCTGCTCCAATTTCCGCGCCGGTAACTTCTCCATACCCTGTTTCCACACAGTCTCCGGTCTCAACGCCAGTAGTCTTGCCACCAGCTGCTTCCATTCCGACACCATTGTCACCAACCGTTTCCGTTGAGGCTCCATTGTCCGAACCGCCACGGACAGTTTCCTCATCTGCTCCATTGTCCGCACCAGTAAGCTTGCCGCACACTATTTCGACTCCAGCTCCAGTCTTCACGCCGGTGAGCCATCCTCCAATTGTTTCCACTCCGGCTCCAGTCTTGACGCCGGTGAGCCATCCTCCAACTGTTTCCACTGCAGCTCCAGTGTATCATCCACCAACTGTTTCCACTTTGGCTCCAGTCTTCACGCCGGTGAGCCATCCTCCAATTGTTTCTACTCCGGCTCCAGTCTTCAAGCCAGTTAGACATCCACCAACTGTTTCCACTGTAGCTCCAGTCCGGTGAGCCATCCTCCAGTTGTTTCTACTCCGGCTCCAGTCTTCTCGCCGGTGGGCCATCCACCAAGTGTTTCCACTGTAGCTCCAGTCTCTGCTCCAGTGTATCATCCACCAACTGTTTCCACTTTGGCTCCAGTCTTCACGCCGGTGAGCCATCCTCCAATTGTTTCTACTCCGGCTCCAGTCTTCCCGCCAGTGAGTCATCCACCAACTGTTTCAACTGTGGCTCCAGTCTCCGCGCCAGTGAGCCATCCACCAACTGTTTCCACTGTTGCTCCAGGCTCCGAGCCAGTGAGCCATCCACCAACTGTTTATCCTCAAGCTCCAATTCCGGCACCTATCGGCTTCCCCCCATCTCCCCATCCGGTGGTCCTCCCGCCGATGGCAGTTCCAATCCATTCACCAATCTCATCACCACAAACTGAATCTTCTCCAGCTCCGGCTCCAAGCACGAAACACAATGCACCTTCACCAGCTCCAGCTCCGATGCTGCTTGGTCGACCCGCCCCTCCATCTGAATCTCCAGGACCTAGCGCCATTTCTCCTAGTCCTACATCAGCTGATGACAAGGTACATTTCAAATTAATTTACTTTTACTGGTTGCTTACCAATCCATTTAGTTCCAAATGCATTGTCATTAAATTTTGCGTGAGTAAATTTTACGTGTGAAAATCCTAGTTTCACCTTAAAAATCAAATTTTAAAATGAACTGGTGTATAGCTTTTATGCAGCGCCGTGCATGATAATGTCCGCACATTGCAGAATTTTGTATTCTTAGGAACAATCTGTTCTCCAAATTGTCTTCACTCTTTATAAAAGCGGCGCATGATATCAACCTTAGACGTTAGCACTCTGTTCCTGCATTAATGTCATCGTACCAACAAAAACGGCGGATCCAAGAAACATTATTAGACTGAACAAAATCTAAGTTGGGGCCACACGGTAAATTTTATTAAATACTCGAAAATTTTGATTCCATTCGATTTTAAAGAGAACTGAATCGAACCGGACCATATCCAGCCCTAATCAGACTGAACAAAATCTAAGTTGGGGCCACATGGTCAATTTTATTAAATAATTCATTTTAGGTTGGCTCGAAAAA